TTAAATATTTTAAAATTTAAAAAATATAGATCATAAGTATATTTTTGTTAATTTTCTAGGCAAATTTGCCTGGAAATAGTCTACAGTTTAAGAGATAAAGCAAATTATTTAATAGACACAAGTAATAAACTAGATGCATAATAGAAATTCTCTTACTAATATGTTTTCTGAAAACTATAATATCAGATATTCAGTAAAACAACTAAAATATTTTGAGAAATGTACTGCAGTTTTTCTGTTAAATTTTTTTACAAATGTTTATTAAAATATTGACAGATCAAAAATTATTTTATATGATACAGATTCATGACTAAAAATATATGAGTATCTAATACTTGAAGCTTAGATTAATGTTAAAATACTAACAATAGCTTGAAATATGACATGCTTATTTCAAGAAGATAAATATTGTAATTTTTTGAAGATTGTATAGATAATCATGAGCTAAGTTGTATTTTAATATATAGACATGCTTATCATTATGAGTATTTTTTATTTAAATTAAAAAGTTGATATAAATATTGTATTAATTATTTTGTAAATAATATTAAAAAAAATTATAAGAGTTATTAGAAAACTCTAAACAAATTTAATTATATAAACATAGTTATAAATATAAGTATCTCAAATGTTACTGAAACTGTTAACAATACCAATATTAATAGCAAAAATTTGTCCTTAGATAATAATATAGATGTACATTTTGTAAGGACAATAAGTGCTTTAACAAATGCATAAATCATAATATGAGTTGGAATAGATGCAATGTTTTTATGTTTGTAACATGTATTTTGTTTTAAGCATTTTTAAATAAATAAATTAATTAATTAAAAATTTTTATGCCAGTATTGTTTTAAATTATATACGTATTGTAATAAATAAATAAATTAAAAAAACTCTTACATCATTGTTGCTTTGAATCGTTATTTTAATAAATGTTATAATAATTATTACATATTATAAAAGAAAATTTCTGCGCCGTTGTTGTGTATTTTATTTTTTTATTACATATTTTCTAATAAAATGTTACAACTAAATTTTAAAATGGTCTGCTATTTCTGATTGGACAAACTTGCTGCGCCTTCACCAAAATGATCTGCAAAAAATAGCCAATCACAGAGAAAGCCCGCTATGCTCATAAAATTAGCCAATCACTTATTGAACGATAATTACTACGTATCAAAAACTCTATATTATTCATTTTGAAATGGGGAAAACTTTTGCTGTTGTATGTGCAAGTAATCAAAATCGAAGTATGGAGGCCCATCATGTTCTCTCGTAAGCTACTGCTATATTTAAGAATCTAAAGTCTAATATATATATATATATTTTTAACTATTCTACCTTCGAAAAAAAAGCAAATGTGGGTTCCAAGTAAGTTCTTATGGTACGGGATCTGCAGTTCGCCTTCCAGGACCTAGTATTGAGAGACCAAACATATATCCTTTTGGAACACCTTACGATTTAATGTATCAAGATTTATACAATAAAGACCCTAAGTTGTATGAGGCGTTTAAGGAATACGTTGTTTCTTCTA